CCTAGCTAACGGGACTGTGCAGCCCATCCTGCTGCCATTATCCTGCCCGTCCAGGAAAGCTGCCTGCAGCCTGGTTATCTCTCACGGAACCTCACCCAGGAGCGGGGCAGCTGGCTCTTACGTGTAAGTCCTACCCCGTGCTGCCCAGCACGGCCCTGTGCCCCCCAAATTGCTGGGAGGGGACGAGGTGGGAGGCTGCAGCAGGTCCCTGCGTCCCCAGGGATGGAGCCAGCTCGCTTTTGGGGACCACAAGGTGTGCAAAGCCCTGAACTCCCTCCCTCCCTCTCCTCTCCTGCCCCTGACCGACTCCACCACAAGAGCTATGAGGACTGGTCACCGGTAGTGTATTTATATGTTGATACAAATAAAAACAAACCCAAAACTCGAAAGTAACAACAACAAAAATGTTTCTCTGAACAAGAGCAAAATAGGAACATTTACAAATACATCTGGCTCTGGCTTGGATCAAGTTAATGTTAAATACAAAAAAAAAAAACCTAAACAAAAAAAAAATAAACCCCATCCCCCCCTCAAGATTATAAAAAAATAAGAATATACACATTCAAAGAGCTTATTACAGTATAAAGTTACTGAGACCCAGGTGCTGCTGGTCCCCGCTCCCCGGGCAGCATGGAGGGGCTGGGGGCCGGGGTGGTGGGTTTTGGCTTTTTTTTTTTTTTTTTTATTCTTTTTGCTCAGCGCTTTTCCAGCCTGTGACTCACTGCAGGGCTGGGCCCGCAGGTTCCCACTACCGGCTTGGGAAAGCTGGGCAACCTGGAAAGCCGGTCGGTCCCCATCTGTCCCCATCACCTCGTACCTAGTGACACCCGTGGCTGCACCCCGAGGGGCAGGGGACTCCAGCGAGCTCCTGGCCAAAATCCTCCAGATCCTCCTCCCGGGAGCAGAGCTGCCCTCTCCCAGCAGGAGACGAGGACGGGGAAGACGAGACAAGGAAAGGAGGGGGATGCCTCCGAGCATCCCCCGTGCCTCCTGCGGGATGGGTCCCGGGTCCCCGCAAGGAGCAGGAAAGGGAAAAAGAGGTGGGGGGGACGGGGAAGTCAAGACAGAGCCAGGACCAAACTCACCGCTCCAGAGATCACAGCGGTGAGATGGCAGGACGGTGGGGACCCGCAGGAGCTGCTACAATGGGTGCTTGTATATATGTATCTATATAATAGCCGGGGTTGGGCACAGCGAGGATATATTATATACACACATACATACAGACACACAGACTTAGTGGCAGGTAAGACTGAAGTAGGCGCCTCTTCCTAAGCCCTGGGCCAGGGCAGGACTGGAAATACATTTCCTAGGGCTTTGCAAAGCCCCTTCTCTAGATACATTTTAGATGGTCCCAACGAGAAAACAAATAATAATAATAAAAAAAAACTCTTAGAGAAGAAAAACCACCTCCCCAACCAACCAACCAACCCCTCCATCCCCCCTCCAGTAATACCACGGAGGGGAGCGAGAGCCTCTTCCCGCGCCGTCCTCCACCCCCCGGCGAGGTGCAGGCAACTTGGATAAGGCACAGTTCGACAGCAGTGCTAATAGTCGAGGAGGGGCGGCCACCTCCACGTTCCGGCACCGTCGCCCTGACGGCTCTGCCGAATGCCGGCAGGCTCTGGCAGCTCCGAGAGGATGAGAAGGGGGGAGGAGGTTCCGTAGGGAGGCGACGGGTCTCAGTGTCCCGGCGAGCTCTTCTCCTGGCCGGCCCGGCTGTGGTTGGTGAGCAGCAGGCCCTCGCGCTGGGCGTGCTCGAGGACGGCGGTGTAACAGAAGTAATACTGCTCGGGGGTCTGGATGCTGAAGGCGCGCTGGGTTCTCATGCGCAGCACCGTCTGGTAGATGTTCAGTGTGCCCACGTCCTGCAGCTGGGACAGGCAGATGTCCAGCGCACAGAAAGTACCTGAGGACAACGACAGGGGGACGGCGTCAGCCACCAAAGAGCCATCGCTGCGAGATGGTGCTCCTCAGCACCCCATCAACCTCCTGCACGAGACCACCGGCATCGGGAGAAGCAGGGCAGAGATGCCTCAGGTCCACCAGTAAGTCCTGGGGACGTGCAGCCCTGGCAAACTGGCTTGCAAACGCACCACAGGTCCCCGAGATGGATATGCCCTGGGGAGGCTGGACTTGCCCACCACCACCACCAAGACCTCCACCCAAGCAGCGGGGTTACCCCCTTACCTGTCCTGCCGATGCCGGCGCTGCAGTGCACCACAATCGGGGGTCCCCCAGGGTGACCCTTGAAGCGAGGTCCCAGGGAGCTGACCGCCACCCTCTGCTGCTGCTTCACGGCCCCCAAAAAGTCGATGAGAGTGGCTGCGGAGGAGGGGACGCCGTAATCCGGCCAGCTCAAGTACTGGAAGTGGGACACCAGCCGCCGCTCCCTGGTCTGGAGGAAAGCAGGGGGTTAGAGCCTCTCCTTTCCTCTGCCCCTGGCCACAGAGGACCCTCCCCGTGCTCCCGTGCCGTCCCCTGCCAGGCTGTGGCCACGAACCTCCGAGCTGTGGATCTCCAGGATGGTTTTCTTGTAATGGTTGAGGTTCTCCACGCCCAGGTTGGTGACGGTCAGGGCCCCGAAGCACACCTGGAAATCCTTCTCCAGGGGCCAGTACTGGCCGCACTTTCTCCTGCCTCCCTCCTCCAGCCTGGGAGCAGAAGGACAAGCTGGTGATGTCCTCGTCACTCTGCTAGATCCCCTTGAGGATCCCACAGGGACCGAACGGTCCATCCGTGATGTGGTGGGTGTCCCCACCCTGCGGGGCTCTGCCCGGCATCACGGGTGCAGGGTGACAGCAGAGAGCCCAGCGCGGCTCATCCCACAGCAAAATCACTCGTTTTCCCAAAAAAATCCCAAACCCCAGGGCTGTGCTCCCCAGCCCCGGGCACTCACCGGGTTGTCATCACGATCACCAGGACATTTTGCTCCCACACCATGCGCCAAAAGTCACCGTAGGTGTTTTCCAGAGGCCCTGCGGGGACAGCCACCCCCCGCAACGTCAGCCCAAAACCCGATGGGTTTGGGCAAGCCCCTTCGCCCAGCGGCCTCCGCCAGCCCCCCTCGCCCTCCCCACCCCAGGGGACCAACCCCAGTGCGGATCCACCAGCCCTGCCTGCAGCCACCACCAGTTTGCAAAGCCC